GGAGGGGAGCGGAGGGGGCTGATGTCAGAGGAAACGTCCTGGCCAGAAGGCGTTTCTGGCAGGGAGTTTCAAACCAGTCGCTCTGAGTTCCAAGATGACTGTGAGTCAAGCAACTGAATATCGCTGGGGAGGCAGGTTGGGGCGGGGGGGGCTCCTTTCCCCACTCTCCTTGCGGTGCTGACGTGGCGGCTTTCCTTTTGTCTGGAGGTTGCCACTTCCCTCCTGTTTCCCCACGAAATGGAGGGACGGCGTGCGTCATCTCTGCTGCCCAAAGCCTCAGATGCCTTCCTTGGGGACCCTTCCGCGCAGGAGAGCAGCAGGGGCGGGAAGGGGGGCATCTGCTCCTTCCCAGCAGCGGAATGCCTGGATCCCCTTATTTCTTCCCTCTTTTGCATTTCTTGGGTGGCTTGGTGGCGGCTGCAGCTGGGGCAGAGGGGAGAGACCTGCCTTTCTGTTCTTCCTGGGCGGAAAGGTCTGATGTGGCTGGATCGGGCACCAGGCACCACACCATTGTGCGTTCCCTTGGCAGCAGGCTTTTGGTCCTTTTGGAGGGTGTCTGGAGCCTCCGCCCCTTCAAGCCTGGGCCTGCATCAAATGTCCAATCTGGGGCTCGGGGGCCTGGGGTTCTCTCTCCACTGCCTCCCCCCAGCAAGGGGGTGTAGCACTTTCTCCGACTCTTCACGCTTGCCTTGCTGAGGAAGAACAGGCGGCAGCAAACAACGGAGACTGCAGCAACAGCAGTGGCCCCAAAGGGCTGGTTTTGGGCGCTGCCCCACCTGTCTCTGCAGCTGGGAGAGAACACGTCTGGTGCCTGGCACCCCAAAGGGCTTCACCTCTCCTGGGGTCAGCCGTGGCGGCCTGCTGCCCTCCCTAGTCTTACAGCAGGACAGCAGTAGTGTAATTCTTGCTTCTCACATGCAGCGTGTCCCACGTGCCCCCCCGGCTTCCAGGTAGAGGCACCCGTGAAAGTTTCTCAGTGAGCTTGAAAGGCGACCTCCCCCGGGCTGCATTGCAGCCATTAATCTGGGTGAAGCGGACCATGGTTGTTCCTTGCAAACATTCAGAATCAGGAGACAAACGTGGAATAGCTCTGCAACATCTTTGGGTTGGGAACACCAGAGCTGTGCGTCCAGATGTTCCCAAGGTCCCCTCAGCAACCAAGATTTGCAGTTAATCCCCTAAGGGGGGAGTCACCCCCATGCCCACTTTCTTTCACACGCTCTCTCCTGTCCAAGTTCCACCAGTCTGGAAGAGAGCCGGGGTGTTAAGCTTCTCACAGCATTGCTGCTGGGCGGGCATGGGCCCTCCCCATCCCAGGAGCTCAGCAGAGCTGGGCTGCCCATCAGGGTGAAAGGCTCCAGCTGGGCCCGGCTCTGTGTCGGTTCTCCTGCTGAGGGGGAAATGTCATACAGGCAGCTGGGAGGCACTCTGCAAGGCTTGTGGGCCTCCGCCCTGGGCCGCGCTGGCAACTCTGGGGCCTGGGGCTCATATTGAGAAGTGGCAGTTGGGATCGGCGGGGGGCACTGCGACCCCCTCTCGCCCCGCACCCCCCCCCCCCCCCC